GGAGGATTTCGAAGAGGAACAGCAAGTCGAAGAGACTGAGGGTGAGTTACCCGTTTCTTTATCGTTGCAACTTCGAAGCAGCTTACCTTGTCAAATGCCTCTCATTTCCGCCATGTACAGGCGCGGCAGACGCTAGCGATGCTCCTGCTCCCAAAAGGGGACGTGGTCGTCCTAAAGGAAGCAAGAATAAGAAGTCGGGGGGAACGTCCGCCGCCGCAGCAACAGCAGAGGCTGGTGCTAAGAGGAAACGCGGCAGACCTCCGAAGGTGTATATATCGTTCCTACATTTTCTGTATATGCTTACATGGTCCTAGGAGAAGAAGGAGGAAGCTGCTGATGGTGAACCGCCTACCAAGCGTAGGCGCGGTCGTCCGCCCAAGGCAAAATCAGACGCAGTACCCGACACAGTCTCAGAGCCTGCACCTGATGCTGCTGGAGAATCAGGTACAAAGAAAAAGCGGGGTCGGCCACCGAAGAAGACCTGAGACACCAACTTTCTCAGTTTCTGGCTCCCTGCTTTGTGTAATTTTCTCCGCTCTCGTTTGTATCTGCACGTGCCAGATCTATCGCTTTCCCGCGCTCCCTACGACTTGACATGATTAGTACCAATTTCTTGCTTTTATGATTTCATTAGGGCCCACAACATATAGACTATATAATGTCACTTTAACCGGAGGTCATGCAATCTCTGCTACAGATCACTGTACACGCGTCCCTACTTATTTTTGTCTGCATGTGAAACACAGAGGACTTCGGGTTGACTCGAAAGCTGGCATTCTCCTTTGGACGAATCGGGTCAGACGAGCACGCGCTCCCAACGATCTTTTCTGCGAATTAATTCCATGGTCGGAATGCCCAAATTAATCACCGCTCAAATGCTCTGCGCGCTTGAGACAACAGAAAATTCTAGATTTTAAATAAGAGCTTCGATCCAATATTTATATTTTGCTCATGGTAGCAACAATTCACAATAGTGAGCACATTATCGATGCAATCTTTGACTTCGCAGCCAACGTAAGACTCTCCACGTAAAGTAGAAGCTCGTCGCACACATGCCAACGGTTGCAAGTCTCGCTATAGTGGTTAGGATGATGGTCTGTCGGGCTGCTTTCCTTCTGGCGGTAGCATAACTGATATCGGGACGGAATGTAACCATGGTGTAGAGAGGCAGCCAGCCGCGAGGATTGGTGGTCGGAAAGGCAGTGCGAGACAATGAGTCGCCCAGAGATGAAAGAAATGTGGGGCGATGAGCGGTTAATGAGAACAAAAGGTAGTCGAGCGCTTTTTTCATCGTGTAGGCAGGCGTTGTCACGGAGTGGCGCATTTCAATACTGATACACGGCGAAATCAATGACAACCAGCAACGCATCACAAGTGACTTTCACTTACTAATTGTCCATTGCAAGTTCGCATATGGCAACGGCATCTTCGTGCCTGTTTGCAGAATAACGAGACAATGCTTTGGCCAGTCTCTGGTCTGTGAAGTCAGATCCAGGGTCTCCCGAATTAGGTATAGTTCTGCGAGGGACAACACATTCTTCTTGCAGTAGCGTAAGCAACACCCGCACGTCTTCGAGACCAGAGTTAAGCCCTTGTCCGTAAAAGGGCACCATCGAGTGGGCGGCGTCACCTAGAATTACACACCGATCTTTGTAATGATAAGGCGTTAGCTACTCCCCACCAATGGCGGCAATTAGCTCTCAATTAGTGCTCGTGTGAAACGAAAGGGAGGTACCTTCGTAGTAATCAGGGGGCTACGGGGGTTTTTCTCAAAATCTTTCAACAATTTGTCTTCGCCAAGTAGCGACAGTGCATCCGGAAAATGATTCTGGAACCACAACAGGATGTCTTCGCGAGTGATCAAACGATCAAACTCGACAGTGGGCGCGAAGAGGGTGCAAGTGAATGTCTTATCCTGAAATTGAATCTTGTCAGGTGGGAAGCACATAGAAGCTGCATGCGTGATTACTTTGTTTGGTAGAGCAATGAGCATGAAGGAATGGCGAGGCCATATGTGGAGATGATTCGGATCAAGGAGGAAGGCAGGATTGCCGTGCTCGTCGTGTCCTGCCGGCATTTTAAGTTCAATATACTCATGAGGAATATATTCTTGCTGAAAATTCATTCTATGCAGAAGCACCAAAATCAGCACACTCGAGAGCGGAAAATCGTCTACCAACCTCACAACCCTCATCAACTGTCTCCTTATGATGGAATAACTACCATCTGCACCGATACACAGGTCGAAATTGGCTCGGACATCAGTACCCGAATTGTCGTCCTGAAGGAACAGGACTCCTTGGTCGAAATCAGCTGAAAGAACCTTATACTTGAAGTTCAAACGAATGTTGGGCAGTGCAGAGGCCTCCTCCAGCAGCTCGATGTTTAGAAGTCCACGATCTATGGAATTGATGCACTAAGAAAATGAACAAACATGGAACAATGTTGGCACAGAGCCGTGGCAAAATACCAGGAACCAAACATACCTGACCGTCCCTGTCATACGGTTGGCTTTGTAGATTTCCATGTATGTCATGAATCATCCGCCCACGCATGGGGATGACCGTCTGCAGGAACCTTCCAGCTGCAGAGGCATCAACAGCTTGTAGAGCGGCGATGCCACGTGATGAAATAGCTAGGTTGATAGATCGCTGTTGAGCAGCTGCTTTCGAAGATGATAGCCGTAAATCTTGAGAAAAAAAAAAGAATCAAAACATTGCGTGACGAGAACATTGACATTGTGGCTTTACCTGGCCTCGCTTCATAGATCTCGACCTGCCAATTCATCTTAGCAAAGGCAATTGCCGCAAGACATCCTACTGGACCTGCACCGACAATGACCACTTTACGTGTATTATCGAGAGGAGGGATGTTGTCGTTCATCATGGGTGACTATGGACAAGTTAGTTTGTGACCCAGGGCTAAGGACTGTGATGCACGGTGAAGAATACATTAATGCCAGTGATACAAAAATGGAAATAATGAAAGTTATGTAAGATCTGAGATCAACTCTTGAGTCTGAATCTTTACCCGACCCTGAAGGTCTGATACCTTGACAATACGCATCGGCAGCTCCGATGGACCCTCCGGATTGGACTGACCTCACCGTCACACTTTCTAGGGACTTTATTATCCCATCAAATAGGGATATTGGAGCTAAAATACCAGAAAATTTTGGTAAAGAACTTCTTTACGTAGTAACTGCTGAACCAGATTACTCAAGGCAAAATCATCTAGCTGATCAAAGATGCACTTATCTTTGTGGAAACTCTCTTGGTCCATTATCCAAACGGTCCAAGACCCTCCTACAGGAGGAGCTAGATGTTTGGGGGACACGGTACGTACTGCACATCCACGAGGCCACGAACCATCCCTTATCTTGATGGCCGTTTGTTTTCCGACATTCTCTTGCGTACAAAATAATTATTAGAGCCGTCGAAGGTCATTTTGCGCACCCTTATGGCCGCGAATGGATGAACATTGCCGATACAGTCACCCCTTTACTTGCTGAATTGGTGGGTAAGTAACTATTAACTGTCACCCTTTGCAGAGAATCGAGAAATTCTGATGCTGAACCTGATGTAGGTGCCTCAGAGAAGGAGGTGGCGTGTATGGGCACTCTGACTGCGAACCTGCATTTGATGATGGCCGAATTTTACAAACCTACTGCTCAACGTTTTAAGATTCTGTGTGAAAGCAGGGCATTTCCCTCGGATCAGGTTAGTACTTGCCATTTTACTCTTTCCTCTGTTGCTTACATGCGGCATAGTACGCATTTGCTTCCCAGGCTCGTCTGCACGGGTATGACCCGAATGAAGCGATAATCGAAATGTGGCCTCGCGAAGGAGAGTTTACACTACGGGAGTCCGACATCATAGACTTGATCGCCAAGGAAGGGTCCTCGATTTCTCTGGTGATTTTCAGCGGTGTGCAGTATTATACTGGTCAATTATTTCCCATGAAGGCTATCACCACTGCAGCCAAGGCACAGGTGAATTTCGTCCAACTACCATCTTCTTCCATTATTACGTACATCTTTCATCACCCCCTCATGACGTGAAAAGACAGGCGAAGATCCGCTACATTCAATTACCCCACACGTCACCCTGCTGAATATGTGTTGACTTCTTGATTCGTCCTTCAAAGGGATGTGTTTGCGGATGGGACCTTGCTCATGCTATTGGAAATGTTTCCATGGCACTTCACGACTGGGATGTTGATTTCGCTGTATGGTGCTCATACAAATATCTCAACTCAGGCCCTGGCGGAATTGGCGGGCTTTTCGTGCACAACAAATGGGAGAACAGCTTGCTACCACAGTGCGTAATTGTCCTTGCTCACTTACTGTATCCACTACTTCTTTTGGGGTTTCTAATCGGCCGCACTCCAGGTATGCAGGGTGGTGGGGACACGATCCAGCCACCAGATTTGCCATGCCTCCTCGGTTTTCAGCTATCCCTGGCGCGCAAGGATTTCAGCAATCCAATCCCTCGGTCCTTGCAACCGTATCGCTTCTAGGTTCTTTGCAGATCTTCAAGGAAGTCGGCATGATGGGCCCTTTACGCAATCGATCGCTTCGGTTGACTTCCGAACTGGAGATGAGACTGATGAAGTCAAGATTTTATGTCCCCATCAATGAGGCTTCGGCACAATTCCTATTACAGGATGTGATGGACGGCAAAGCTGACGCTGCCGAACAGGGCCAACCCGGATTCACCATCATCACACCTCGTGATCCCGAGTCTCGGGGTTCACAGTTGTCACTTCTGTTCCTGCCACCTAATTCAGACGTGATGGACAGGGTTTTTAATGCATTATCTGCAATGGGTGTTGTCGGGGATGAGAGAAGACCCGACGTGATTCGCTTAACACCTGCAGCCTTGTACAACACGCTGGGTGATTGCGAGAGAGCTGCCTCGTGTCTTGAAGAAGCATTCGAGGGTTTGACGAAAGCAAGCTTGTAAGGCCGGTAGTTTAGACATTGTTCTGCGGATGCAGCATTAACCTGAAGTACATAGAGGTACATTGTCTGTAATGTATTGTCCAACAAGTTTAACAAATTCGACGCCTTTCAGTATGTCATTATGCTCTCCTACAAGTTCTTCAAAGTTCCTCGTGACATGGGAGACATTGCGAAGTAAATGCTGATACATTGCTTCGCTCTGAGCTTCATCTATTAAAGTATCTCCTTTGGAATGCACGATGAACCACCGCAAGTGATGGTAGTCCATCCTCGGAGTCATCTTCGTGACTGAAACTTCCCCGTAGGTACTCCGCGGGCTAAATGCGGCCTCGATGAACCAATTCCTGTAAGTGGGAAAACTCGAGAGAAGGATATCGATGTCATATATTCCCTCTGACATGATTATGGCTTTGGTACTCTTAAGAAGCTCGGCTGAGGGGCACAAAGGGTCCTCGCCTTGGGTAGCCCCGAGGAAGATCGACGACAATATATGAGCACCACAGCTATGTCCCATCAAACACAATCTGTTTGAGTCATAGACACTGGTGTCGCACGGGCCTCCCCAGGTGATAACGAATTCGAGAAAGCGTAGGATATCTTTCGCGTGATCGGGGTGGTGGACGGCATTGGCTTCCGTCGTTTCACGAGGAGACAGGCGATAATTGGGGACTGCTACTGCGTATCCAGTGAAACTGGCGAGTCTACGAGCCAATCCAGCATGATCGAGTTTATCTTCGCTAAAGAGGCATGGTAAGGAATGAGATTCTCTGCGGAGGAGAAGCCCACCTTCTCCATGCACCTCCATGAATAAAACAAACTAGAGGGGGTATGGTTTCACCAGATGGGTTTGGGATGTAGATGTCAAAGCTCTGAAAGTTGTTGGGTGGGACATAAGATATGTCAGTGTATTCCTCCATCACGACTTGGGAATAGCATGTGATCGACTTTGTCGTTCGCCGCAGTTGAACACAGCCACCGGTCTGGCCCTAATGACGTCACTTTTGCTACGCGCGCCACAAATTTGGTTGACGTCACTGAGCATAGTGCAGTCTATATAACGGCAGCACCCCCCACTCATCTCAAACGTATAGGACCCTCCAACATGCCGTTCACAGCTTCCGATGTTTGCAAGGTACTTACTTTCCTTATTCTGGCTGGTTCGCTCCAGTATAACCTGATGCGGTCTGCCTCCGACATTTAGATAATGTAAAGTCGCCAACCGCTTGTCCAATCAAGTCACTTCTAAGCTCATGCATTGACAGTTGTGCTATCCTTCTTCCTCCTTTGGGCGTATTCTTGGAACGGGGGTGTACAACCGACCTGGTGAGTTAGTTCCATTCAAGTTCGCATGGGAATTCGCCTGGCTGACTAGCTACTGTGATAGCTCATTAATTGCCTACTAACTCTTCTTGGTAAGTCCATCGCATAATACTGCAAATAATCTGGCTATAACCGCCCGAACCTCCTTCTCAGGATGTGAGTGCCCTTCAAATGATTGATTGCGCTTGTTGCTAACTAATTTTTACTTTAGATATGTAAGACATCGTTCGTTTCCTTTGTCCGCCGTTTTGGACTGACTGTTCTTCGGTTCTCAGTCCAGGAATTATCCACGGTATGTCACGCAATGCTCTTTACTGCTTGCGACCCTTCTCCTCATGGCGTCTGTAGCACTCTACATTATTTTAAAGTATTGAGTGGTAATGTGACACATACTACCACTCTTCCTCAGGCAAGTTACATATGCACTGCCCATTTCGCCGTCTTACATCCGTTTTTCCTGCTTCAATTTAGAGTCGAGCCTTCCATAATCCGCCGATGAATTGGTGGGATATCCAGGAGGGGATCAGATACATTGCATCCATGACCAAATATGTAAAACACACTCTCCTCACATAATGCACACCATACTTTATACACACGTGTCGACTAGTATAGTGATATCTCCGTCGCAGAACCCAAAGATAATTCAGTAGCAATGTTCAACCTTTATGTCACTGACTACATGCCTAGTAAATCAATTAATCACCTCACGAAATCAAAAACAAATCCCCCTCGGTCTCATTACGCGGGGTGAAAAAGTGAGGAAGCCTTGAATCGCAATTAACACCAGCAGTTGCAATGAACTGAGGAAATTAGTCAACCCTTGACGCAACCTCGCATTAAATCATTAAATTTTGATCCCTCCCACAATTGCACAGGATTACTGCATGAGGTAAAGAAGTGGTCCTATTCACTGTCATCCTCGTCAGTGTCACCCTCGTCCTCTTCGTCTGAGCTATCCTCGTATGATTCCTCTTCCGAAGAATGTGCGCCTGCCGAAGGGAGTTCCTTTGTGACTGGGTTTTTGACAGCAGGATCCCTCGTTTCGCTGCCATCATCTGAGTCCTCCTCCGATTCTTCATCGCTGTCCTGCTCATCAAACTGTTTTATCATATGCGCTCCAGTGACCCAGCATTTGTTATAGTTTTCTTGCAGAGTCGCAGGCTTAACGCCCTCGCCTTGAGATTTGGAATTTCCATGCCATGCGCGGATGTCATCCTCGTCGACTATGTCGTCCTGGTAGAGCGCGGCAAGTATCTGGCCAAACAAGGGCAAGCGATCAGACGAAGCGCAATATTCCTGTGGTGGATGATTCAAAACTGCTTCAAGCCATCGTCGCGAGATACTCACCTGGAGGATTTCGACAGTTTCTACCGCATCCACCCCCCCAATTTTGTCAATCAGCCCTCCCCATCGAGCAATCATACTAGCAATCTCCTGTCGTTGCGGAATGCCTCCACCCGCCACGATTTTGATCCGGCTTACCATGGCTGCGATCACCGCCTCCCGCACAAGGCGGAGAGATACGTTGCTTGCCATACGCAGCGTCTTCAGTTCTACAGCGGCATTATCAACAGAATGGCCTTCAGCAAACGCACGATCGAGCGACTGCTTGACTTCCTGTTGAAACTCTGATATTACTGCCGAGTCTGCTTGTGCAACTAGATTCGAAGGTGTGCTGAGTGGAAGTGAAGTCGTCGAGGAAGCGGGGTTGGAATCGTAAAAGTGCTCGTCGTCTTCGTCAGAATCAGACTCTGACTCAGACTCTGATGAAGTGACGGAGCCAGCATCCGAGAGAACGAGATCTGATGCGTCGTCGCCTGTAAAAATACCCTACAGTTTAGCAGATGATATGGATTGATGAACAAGACCTACCTATTCGCATCAAGCGCTGGTTATCAGGGTGTTCCAGCTCATCGATGTTCTCGTCCTCGTCAACAACTGGCAGTGGCCAAATCATCGCATTGGTGCCAGAGCCAAGTTTTGCAAGGGCTTCAGGATCTTGGTCTTGGGAGAAACACTGAGTTAGGGTTTCACTTAGACGTTGACTTTACCCACTTGCTTCCACGTCTTCTAGTTCCGAGTCGACCTCATCTTCGTCGTCACCATCTTCACCTTCGTCATCGTCTTCTTCTTCTTGGTGCTGTTCTTCTGCATCTTCGAATTCTTCCTCTTCTTCCGAGTCGTCGTCGTCTTGCCGTCGCTTAGATAATCTTGAAAATGGAGCAAGTTTCGCCCGCGGACCGATGATGACGCCATCAGCAATCAAACATCCGCGTTCAACACGAGTGCACTCCTTGATATGTACACCTGACCCGATTATACTGTACTCGACGACGCAATTCGGCCCGATGACCGCTCCATCAAAGAGATAAGAGTTGCGGACTATACTGCCCGCACTAACAATGCACCGCTGGCCAAGAACAGATGCTGTAACCTGGGCATTATCAGCTATCTGCGATTTCGAGCCAATCAGCGTGTTATTTCCGATCTTGCACGTCCTAAAAGTTTTCCACGAGTGGGTAAACGACCAACGATCTAGAAACGTTCTTACCTAGAGAGTATCACAGAGTTATCCTTGGCAATGTATTTGTTTCCCCGTAGATGCTCATACGAGTGGCCACCAGGATGGTTGTCATCTGGCACCAAAGGGAATGTCCATCTTGAAAGAATGTCTTTGCTGGTTTCTGGTAAATGCCATGCAATCACCAAAGAAGTTTGGGACACTAACCTGATGGAGTCATAGCTGCGAGTATCCCTGACACGAGCAGCATAACCCTCTTTGGCTATATAGCAATAGATACTTTTCATGAGTAGGTCAGACGTAAGGACGCCATGAACGAAATCCCTTCGTACGTCCCCGTAGTCGAAGTTGTCTTGGAACAGTGACGGCACCTGTGCAAAAAGAGATCGATCAATTGAAAGTAAATGAGGCAAAAACTACGTTAAACACACCTCTACAGAACATATGTCTATCGAACAATCAATCAAGTCATTTCGGATCTCCACCTCAGGGTGTTCATTGAGAATTTCGCGTGGTATGCTTGCGTATTTCTTCGGCGGGTACCCAGTCACCGCCTCGTAGTGCAGGCATTTTGATGTCTCTGGATCTATGACAAACACCGCAGAATCACCTTTCGAACTAGGGAGAAATGAGTGGAGTGATGGTTTTCCTTGAGGACTGACATACCGCGTCCGATGGTTCACACCGCTCTGTTTGACCACCATGGTCATTATGGCGTCCTTGTCCGTTTTCCTCCGCTCTTTGTGCTCGCGGACAACATTACCGATGTGTATGTTGCTCACGAGATCACCGGTGACGAGTACGAAATCTGAAGTGATGATGCCATGAGTGTAGATGTCGCGCATGGCATCACCAGGTGTGAACGTCTCTTTTGCAGTCACAATAGGGACAATCTTGAGGCCTGCGCCGGGCTTTGACCATTTCGAATTCCTGGATCGCACAGTGAACCATCACGAACAGGAGAATGGCGGTTCAGAGACTCACTTGATCGCAGTCTTGACCAGTTCCGCATGTGATCTACATATTACGAAGATCTCTTGTACGCCAGCTAGAGCAAGGCTTTCAAACGTCCAGTCCAGCAAGGGAGCATTGCATATCGGCAGCAGGCACTGATTGAGAATGATATTGGCATGATTTGGTCATGCAGGAACTTGACTCACTCGAGGTTTATGCGTGGTTAGCGGTTTGAATCGTTTGTTAAAACTATCTGCTAGAATAACGGCCTGCAGAACCTCTTCTTCGTCTGCGATCAATTTATCCTTGCCAGTAGAGGAAGCTGTATTCGGAGACATTGCAAGGAAAAGTTACAAGGAGATACCTAATTTATTGATGGAATCAACCGAGTCCAGTCGAGTCACACTCGCCAAAATGGTGCTTAAGCTCAAGGGGTTTCTTGATGTTCATACAACCCTCCAACATCATTACAGGATAAAACTTTAATGACATGGTTAACTGATCCGACCATAGCAAAGTAAGGGTATCAATGATCAAGATCGACATTAGGTAGTGAAAACAGATCGGAATATAGTCATGATGAGTAGGGTCGTGAAAAGAAAGCAAAGACCAAATCCAACAAGTATGGTAGCAGAAGAGGGTAAAAGACATGAATGGGGAGCTAACGAAGGGATCCTGATAATGACCAAAAGTGCAGCGAGAAAGACTGCTCAACATACCAATGGAATAAAGGAGCAGATGAATATGCGCTCGTGTCGTTCATGATATTACCAACAACCTCGGAGTAACCGCTTATGCGACAGCCGAGATGACGGGGGTGGCGGCGAGTGCAGGCTCAGCAGGGACGGGCTCCTCGGCGGGAGGTGCAGCAGCCTGTGCAGCCTCTGAACTGGCAGGGTTCTCGAGAGGAGCAACTGGAGCAGGTTCATCAATCACGGGGGGATGCTCATCCACCTTCGCAGGAGTCGCGAGCTCGGTCTTCGGCTTGGATCTGAAAAGGTCACCCACGCGCGCAGAGAGGCGGCGCCCAACCTTAGCAGCCTTGTTTTCCTTCTCCTTTTTCTCCTCCTAAGTGTAAATGTAAGCGTACAGATTATTTTCAATCAATAAACATACCTTGTCCTCCTTAGGGGCCTCGGGTGCAACCTCCGGGGTGGGCTCAGGTGCAGGCTCTGCAGCGGGAGCCTCAACGGCGGCGGTTTCACTGAGATTGATCAGTCAATGAAGGCATCCAAGGAGAAAAGACCTACGTTTCTTTGACAGGCTCAGCTGCGGGCTCCTGAGGAACAGAAGGCTCGGCAACAGCAGGGGCCTCCTCAACATTTGCTTCAGCGGGAGGCGCTTCCTCCTTGGCAGGCTCTTCAGCAGGGGGAGCGGCCTGGATATCTATCAATCACAACGTCGTTGAGACTGAAATTGGTCACCGACCTCCTCCTTCAATTCTTCCTTTTTCTTTTCTTTCTTGGGACTCTTGGGAGCCTTTACTTTCTTCTCCACCTTGGTCTTGCCTTCCTTGAAGGGGGCGAGAAGCTTGGCAAGGAGGCCGGGACTCTTGGGGCGCTCCTCCTTCTTAACCTCCTACAAGAAGTTAAGTAAGATTGAAGTCTGCTAGAGAGATCACGATTTGGACACACAGTCTTTACTTCTTCCTTGGCAGACTCTGCAGGAGCCTCAGGAGCGGCCTCGGTGGTGGGGGCGGCCTCCTGAAAAAACGCGTCAACTTGCGAAACCCAGGTGACGATGGGGACAGCTTACCTCGGCCTTAACTTCCTCCTTTGGTGCTTCCTGTGTATATAAGGTTAGAGTCGGCCGGAACAACAAAGGGTAGTTGAAAAAAATTACAGTAACGGGAGCGGGCTCCTCAGCAGCAGGAGCCTCTGGGGCAGGGTCAACGGCAGGGGTCTCGACGACCTTGACTTCCTCAGCGGGGGCGGGAACGGCGGGGGTGACCTCAGGAGCAGACATTATAGCAAAAAATGCGAATGTGAGCTGTCAAACAAGAGCAAGTGAGTGAGACGATCAATGGAGAACACAGCGAAGGGATACCAACATGAAAAGATAATAAATTGACAAGAGAGAGAAGGGCGTGCTACGCAACGCTGGGCCCAAAGGCTAGAAGAGAGGAGGAGTAAGAGAGAGGAAGAGATACGGTTGTTGTCAAATTCGGGCTCTACTTATCCGTATTTGGCTCCGCTTTACGCGCCAAACAAAGCAGCTAACCTAATTTTTGAACGTTCTTCCTATTTGTTTGATTACCATTTTGGGTTATGTTATCTCTCACGGCGTCTAGCTAGCCGACAAAAAATAAACCAACGATGTTAGAGAAATTTGGAGAGAGAATATATATTTTGAGGATAGTCTGTAAACTATGGCCCGTGCGGTTGGGCTTAGGGTGCTCTGAATGAAACCGGCCTAAAGAGGGATGTTCTGAGTACAAAAGGAATGTTCGGATCACGTCAATACTAGCGAAATCACGAGACTGGGATACCGATCACATCCGCTCGCCACCGAGCGCGGTTTCGACTCCTGTTTAAGGTTAAAAAAAAAAACATATTTTGAGGATGAGTAAGCAGACTCGGTTTACCTTCTCAGGCTTGTCAGTGATCGAAGCCATGACGACTCAGATCTATCCATGACCATGTCCTCTGTACCCACATGCTACTTTCCTTGAAGCTCTCATCAGGCTACTCGTACGTTCAATCCTAAGGGTCAGAGGTGTTCTTGGCCTGGCGTTCAAATGATCGAACCTGCGACACAAATGTGTCATTTTCATAACTGCAAATGACACCTATCCTGCCTGCGTTATCGTTGCGGGTATCAGTCTCGGTTGGCCAGCGACGTATGCATTTAACTTCTTTCTATTTATATATCTAGTGGAAATGTTTCGACCAAGTCGACATCAAGCCACACATGGCCAGCGGCGCTTCATCGACATCTTCCAGGGACAGTAATCATGCCTTCGTACCTCAGCATCTAGTAGGTAGCATCCCTTCTTCCTCAGGATCACTCTGACCCATCACCCAGAAATCTACTATGCGGTCTCATTACACCGTCATTTTCCCATCATATTCCAGCCCTGCTTCCCAGTCATACTATCACATCCACTCAGGAGGTGCATTCGTTTTCCATTTACGTGCTCTTCCCTTCAAGAGGGACGCCAGCGTCAACTGTCAGCCTAGGCTAAAAGTCGTCTCACCCTCATATATCATACTGACATGTACAGTACATCCCTCAGTGTCACGGCACAGAGGTCGTCTTATGTCAGTGTATTTGCTACCCCATACCAAACACCCTACTAGACTACCGTGACTGACACCAAGCTAGAAAATAAAAGTGTGCAGTCTGCTTGCGCTCAGAACCCAGGAGGGTACTGCTTTGTTTACCCCTTGACCACAGCGCACCAAGAAATCCGTACCTTGTCTTACTCGCACGTAAGCTAATTATCGCCGATGATGGTCACTGCCCCTCAAAGACCATCTGCTCGCTAGATGAGCCTCCCGCATCTCAATCACCGCAAGGATCACATTTTGACACAAACGTACTATCTACGAGTCTGCACCCATTAATTGGTCTGATGGGCGTCCATCCACAGTCCGATCCAGTCGTGATTATATTTAACTGCAATGTCTTGGAGGCTTCTTATCGAAGAACAGCCGAACTTTGATCCGCGTTTACTGGTCTGGACATTGATGCCTTGTCTTGTTACCTGTTACTTCGACTTGCGTCTCAGAGCTGCCACCTTCGCGTACCTGGGACCGCCTAGCAACCTCCCGCGCCCCCTCGCAGCTGCCTACAAGCACGCAGCGGCACAGCCGGTCCGCTGCCTCTGCCAAGATGCACTTTTCACCAGCGATATTCGTTTGAGTTCCCTTGCAAGGTATCTCGATCGTCCGCCAGGCAAAAACTTCTTCGACAATATTTTATCGTGCACAAAATTGATACGTTATGCGTTCTCATGTGTCTTTCGTGATGACGACCAAGTGTGACATATATGCAACATAGCAGCCATGACGTATATCACGCGGCTGCTTTTACCACCTTGCCTGCTATATCTGATTGCCGTCTGCGAGGGGCGCGCAGACCCTTAGCTTTCATCTGAATACGTTTACCCTCTGTGAAAATACATGAACAAGTAATATAAAACAATAGAATCAGTGGACAGACCTTCAATCAATGCTCTGTCCTCATCAGAATTAAATCCGACATCTTCTTGCTGCTCATCTGTATTCGCTGCATTGGTCGACTCGGCTTCCTTCGTACCAGCTTTTATTTTAGCCCGTTTTTCCACCTTGAACTTTGCGACATAGAACCCATCCATGTTATGCACATGGGGATAAAACCTCTTTGTCAGTTTCACGCTCGGGTGGAAGGTCTTTCCGCGATATTTCGTAAAACCATCCCTGCCAAAGCCGAGACCGGTGTCCACCAGCTTCACATTCGGGCGCTTTCGCAACGCATAATCGACCACAGCCTCATTTTCATCGACAGTGACGGAACACGTAGAGTAGACCAGGAATCCTCCCGTTTTGGAGTCAGGAGAGACGCTGTCGATGGCGCAGAGGATAAGTTGCTTCTGGAGGTGCGAGAGGAGGTGGAAGTCACGTTCAGACTATATAAGTGAGTAAGTGGATCTTTGACCACAAGCCAGAAACCTCACTTTGTTGACTTTCACACTCGAGTCCTTGCTGATAACACCAGTGCCGCTACATGGTGCATCCAAAAGGACTCTGTCAAAACCACCCATTACCTTTGGAAACTCCCGACCATCGTATGAGCAGATGATGACGTTTTTGCACCCTAGACGATGTACATTCGCCGTCAGACTCTTTGTCCGTGCTTTGTTCGCATCATTGGCAAATACAATGCCAGTATTTTTCAAGAGTGCAGCAATATGTGTCGTCTTGCCTCCAGGAGCAGATGCCATATCAAGTACACGCTCATTCGGTTGAGGGCTTAGTGCAATGACAGGCAGGAATGATGAAGCTGCCTGAAGCATATAGTGGCCAGAGAGATACTCGGGTGTCGCACCTATCGTGGAATTTAGCTGGGCACAGCTCAGGTACTAAGGATCCATACACACCTATGGGTACGCTACTTTCGAAAACTTGGAGACCAACATTGGTCCATTTGCCTATTGGCTCGAGGTTGACGCCACGGTTAATGAGGGCTTGCGCAAGGTCTCGTCTTCGTGTTTTGAGTGTATTTGTTCGGATAGTCACTGGTCTTGATACCTCATTTGCTTCGAAGAACTCGATGGCCTGGGGAAGAGGTAAAACGTAATAAGTATGTAACTCTAGAGAGAGATAGAGCACCCCACCTCAGAAACTGGAAATAGCTGGAATAGCTTCTCGGCAAGAAAATCATTATACCCATAGTAACTAGCGATATCGGAGACGAGCTGTTCGACATACTCTGACCGTAATCTGTAGACCACATTAAAAATGCAGGAATAATAAAAAGCGGTCGAGTGAAAGACGTACCGGCCTTTCGCGCCCAGTTTTGCGAAATTGCCCAAGATACGGACACATTCTCGCATCCTCCGCTGAACGACATGGACATCAGCAACATGGTTCTTCTCCTCAGCTCTCTCCTCAGCCGTAGGTAAATGAAATGCTTCTGCGTCTTCTCCCTCCCCTTCCATATCAACGTCCTCGTCGCTACCCTCGACAACTGCATTCTGCATCTCCTCTATATCAAGCTCCGCCTCACGAGCAGCCCTCTCATCGAGAGCACGAGAGCGGGATTCAATGTTCTTGGCAGTAATTGGCGCGTCCTCGTTGTCGGACTCATCATCATCAGAGTCATTATCTGAGGCAGTTGGAATAATTTTGGTTGGACGTTCAGCCTGCTTAGATTTCCGGCCTTTTTGTGGAAACAGTGCGACTTCCTCGTCATCTGAGCCAAGGTCCAATTCTTGCGGAACCCCTCGTAAAAGATCATCGCTGCAGGGCAAAAAAAAAACTTTAGCCAGGAATACGGCGGGAGGTCGGACTTACTCCTCATCGATATCCAAGTCATCCAGACTGTCGACCGCAAACCCATCCACATCTTCCAAATCGCTAGCAACTTCCCATCCATCACTTTCGCCTTCTTCCGAGAGTGGTGGGCTTTTTTCTTTGGTAGGTGTAGGCTTAACCTTTGATATCTTCTCTGTCCGCTTCTTTGAGGGTGGAGGTTTATCTGCCTTAGCTTTTTTTATAGGACGGCTGTTGGTATGTGGTTCAGGCTCGTGATCTACATTTGCCTTCCGTTTCCCGAGCCTTTTTGTCGAAGGGCGAGGTTCATTTGGATTGCGAAGTGGAGCTGGAGGCTCTTGCTTGTACTTTGTTCGTCGCCCTCCCATGACAGGCCAGCCGATATGATATGGTCGACTGCACAGAGAGATAGTAGAAAACACTAATACAGACTGAGAGCAAATTACGAGCTATTTTTTCTCTCGCCCCGATTTGGATAATGTCCGAGTCCTGAACACTTCATCCAATACGCAACCCTAGCGCGAGCCCAGCAATGAAAGACGCCCTTGGCTGAAAGTCTGCTGTTAAAAAGTCCACCACCCATCTCCACAGTGACAAAATAGTTGGTGGCTTCTTGTTACCCAACGCGTCTTTCGTATACAACAAGTTCTCGAATCGAGCACCCATGCGAGCCCAATCAACACGGACGAGTGACATCGACCCAAGGTACTGTTAAATCAGTAAGTGCACGTCGTCGACACAAAACACATGTCGCGTACTTGAAGGAGGACGAATACACCACCCAAGAAAAATGCGACCATTTTTGCACCTTTCTTGATGAATACACCCGCACACACGCCAGCTACTGTACCAAACGTTAATTCATACAGATTGACGGTGGATTCCGGGGGTGGGGAATGAAGAGATGGAGTGGGTGTGGTACCTGGCCCTGAATGCCTCGAGATCAACTCGTGCTCAGCTAGGCATAGCAATAACAATTCACAGTACCTTTACTGTCACAATGAATGTTTGATGCGGTACACGTTGCTATGCCAAGGGCAATCCCTACTGTCCCTGTAGCTGTCAGAAAGCTGGGCAGGAGGAGCTGCCCCTTGCGTGCAGCGCCCAGTCGATTCAATCCAAACGTCCGAGGCACATGCGCGCGTGCGGAAAGCAAATAATGTCGACAAATGACAGAGCCTGAGGGTGAATGAGGGCGGAGAAACCGAGTAGTGCTCAAACTCGAACGAGCAGTGATTGGGCTGAAGCCAAGTAATGGCCGGACAAGCGAGAATGACATAGAAATGGTTTGGTGTGCTGACGATGAAGTGTTATGTACGAGTTCAAGGAGATTCGACAAGCATAAGTATTTGAAACTATTGACAAGTGAATATAGCGTAAGTCGACGTCATCATTAAGGCAAGCTACTAGTAGCACCATGGATACGAAGTACGTGGGCCCCAATCTCAAGTCCGAGTCATATGGGCAGGCCATGAAATGACCATGCTCTCGTAGGTTATTGTAAGTGAAAGTCCAAATCTAAATATGTCATAGTTCTCGTCCAGCCGCGCTAAGCACGAGTCTCCTCCACTCGTCTGGATCGATATTGGAATTTGTAGAATCAGTGCGAACATGTTGCAAGCTGGGTCGCACTAGTGTGGGATGTTGGACAGGATCTTGCACTATGTCCCGAGGAAAATCGGATAACTCGTCCCTAGAATATCTTGTGGGAACATCAGAAAGGTGAAGTTCATACGTGAGTTCATTTGATCCTGTGGGGAGTTGTAGTGTGGGAAGAGCAGTCAGCGAGGGAGACAAAAAGCCATTGCTAGGAGTGTCGTAATCACCTCCTGCAGTCTGATGCTCCGCGTGATCGTGGACACTGGCCATCATGGAATGTACAGACAGGGTGACAGGGGAGCGCGATATTGATGGTGATGTCAGCAGACTAGTCTGCCTAGTAGTTGCAGGGGATGTAGTTCCGAGACGGGAAGGTATAGTCCTTTGGGAATACACTGAAACCGACCTTCCCGTGATCGCACTGAGGGTTCGGCGAGGTGCCTCAGCAATTGGTATGGAAACTGTGGGGAATTCACAAGTTGATCCATATAGGCTGCTGGCCACTGAATCACGATTAGCATCCAAAGTCTCGCCGACGAAGGGGTTGGGCAAAGTGGACGACAGAAGAGGCTCCGGGGGGCTTGGGTATTGTTGCGGAGATGATGAACCAGATGCGCTTCTGTTGGGAATGCCTGGAGCACGAATGGTTCTCGCGATGCTGGACCGAGGAGACACATGAGAGTAGCCTACAGTAGCATTTGGCATCTCCATTTCGATGTGATCATCGCCCGTTGTTTGTTGTGGCGGATACGGAAGCTCCGACGGAGGGAACTCAGGAGACATCCCCTCCTGATTTTTGAAGAGAAACGCTTGAGACGCGGACGACGCATGAGACATGCGTAGATCATCCGTGACTTCCGAAACGCCAAGCTGATTCTCCGAATCGTCAGCTTGAGTTGCGCTGGGTGTGCGAGGGATAAAATGCACGAAAGGCAACCAGATGGCATACAGAAGTACTGTCATCACTCATCATTATGTGTGAAAGGATGGGGTAAAAGGACACCTACTCAGTGCGGAAATGACCCATAATCCTATGACAACTGTCATTGTCATATTATGGCATTTTGCAGTCGAGCCTTGGTTCAGTCAGCCTACGAATCGCTCATATGATCAAGAGAACTAACCAAAAGCGTTGCAGGGAAACTTGGGGCTAAGAATCATGAAGACTACGGCAGCGGCTAGAAAAAGTGACGTGAGATCCATTGCTCACGCACAGCACGGTCAACACGAACCGACGTCAATACCCAAAAGTACCATGGTTCGCGCAGCGTCCGGCCAAAATTGATATTTCACGACGATCCTAGGCACCGTAAGCATGTTGCAGATAGGAGTGGAGTGATAATACTTACATGAGATACAATAAAATCGAACTAACGAAATCAAGAACGATGAGAGCGAATAGAAATCCGCCTGCAAGTCGAACGCTGTCAATGCAAGTCATCGCAAAACGTGGTAATGCTACTTACGCTCGCCGGAATTGTAGCTTGACCAATTGTTGGCCATGTACACGATAATGATGATGCTCCATGTCAAGGAAATAATTGAAGCAAGAGCTTTGAAGGGAGTCAGTCGGAATCAGATATATCATACATATCGAACTCACCGAGAACAACGCGACGAAATTTCCGAAATGTGTTCCACAAAGTATCCGGAGCCATTAAAGGGGGGGACCTGACGTAGTCAGCGAAATCGAAAGATGAAGAACTTGAATGTAATATAGAAGGAAGCAGGGAAGACCAAAGCGTGGCGACTATGAAACAAAAATGAACTCGCCGCAGCCACGAAGGGGTGTGTCAGTTCCAGACGGACACTGGGATGCCCTGCATGTGCGCAGCTGCTTTTTTAGTCAACGGCTGATGCGTCACGGTATATTATTTAATACCGCAGCACGCCTCCCTTCCCAGGGACATGGTAAATTTAGTCGCCTAGGTAGTTATGCAGTGCCAGCCTCGAGTTTTCAGCTCATCTGCTAGTGGCAGTCCTGGAAATATTAGTACTGCCTCGTGATTAGCGCTCGCTCAAGCTATAGTGAATTAGGGCTACATAGCGCCTGTTTAAATAAGAAGCGAATGGAATGTACGCAGTAGTGGGCGTAATCCCAGAACGCTAGACCAACAGCGGTGTTTAAACTTTGAATGTCCGATCGGATATGTTTGGGGGCAACCGTCACATTCCCAAAGGCTCAGCATGATCAACGTAAAACTCTGGGGTCGACCTACACAAACCGGTGTCCTTACGGTATCGCATCGACCGCTCACTGATACCAGGATCATAGGATCCTCGACACTCAGTAGACTTTTGTTCCCTAGATTATTACATGAATCATTGGCCGTCGGAAGTTGAAAGTTAGTGGTCCGACTTATGACCGCAGGGACGAACTTCCGTAACAGGCAAATAGAAAACGCTTACTACAGTGAGGCACAATTGACTCCAAACCATCATGTCCGGTCCAGGAGAACAACAGCCCCTCCTCGTAATTTCATATGGCGAGGAAGGTGCGCTCACAGAACAGCCCAAGGGGACTTTAGACGTCTGGCGCGAAAACATTTCGTCCATTCTAGAGTCCCGGCGCTTTCACACATTCGTTATTACATTGGTGAGCAGCCGGTGTCACATATATTCGCTTCTTGTTGACGTCCAGCACTGCTGTAGATTGTGATTGATGCTACTTGCGTCCTTGCTGATCTTGGATACACCGTCTTGTCCGATAAATGTGCTCCATTGGACGAGGGCCCCGAGTGGCTTGAAGTCCTGGCTACTATATCACTTGCCATAACCACGCTCTTTCTTATTGAAATACCAGTTACCCTCTGGGCTTTTGGAGTCCGCTTCTATACCCCATTCTCAGGTGTTCCACATGCAGCTTTGCACCTGTTTGATGTAGCAATCATTGTCACGACTTTCGTACTCGAATTTGTCCTCAAGGGACGTCAACGTGAATTGGCTGGACTGCTGATTATTCTTCGTCTGTGGCGATTAGTAAAGCTTGTAGGAGGTAATCTCATCTTGGCCCCGTTTCTCTCGTCTCGTCTCATGAGCTTTCCAACAGGCATTGCCGTGGGAGCTGCAGAAATAGAAGAAGAAACAGCACAGGAACTCGAAGAAACAAAAAGGCAGCTCGAGGGCACCACAAACGCACTCGCAAAGGCTCGGGAGGAGAATCGCAAGCTACGGGGTCGGGTAGCCTGGTTAGAGACGGGCGGATCCGAGGGAGCCGAGTTTTGAGCCGAAACAGATTTCATGAGTATATGTCACCTATCCTTGGAAAATCACTAGTCCTAGTCGAGACCTAGGTATTCAAAATTCGGAGTTTTACAACTGCATTACGATGGTGGATTTATTTTAATACAGCATTCATGGTGATACCCAAGTCCGAATGAAAGCTAAATATGCTAAGGGATATAATACAATTGAGTATGGAATGCAAAGGATGGTAATCAAAAAACACCTCTATGGGGCCAGAGTTCATGAATATCAGTAACATTGACCGCATCCGCGGGTATCCACTCAGATAGTTGCGGTCGTGGGATGGGCAGATCAGGATCTGCAATCCTCTTGGGAAAAATGGTTGGTGTCCGTGGCGTCAAAGTTGAGCAAGATGTATTTTTATCCAGCTCCAAATTCGTGAATGTCCCAGCATACTTGAAGTCGCTCAGACCCGACATCTCTCTAGTACACGCTTTTGGAGGTGGCAGGGGTACCTTCGGAGAGCTGCTGGATGGCGATAGGCGTTGTGTCAAAAAAGGTTGGTCGACACCACGCCTAGTCTGAAGTTCAAATTGCTTCGCCCACGCCGGTCGAGCAGGATCGATAGACGAACGATTGCGGGAAAACAGAATAGGCTTCGAGGGTTCGACGACACGTCGGTCAACTCTATGAAACCTTTCCCAAGTGTCCGCAATGTATTCGGTGACCTTGCAGGAACTGCCGCTTTCAGCCCAGGTGGATAATGAAATATCCGACAATGGGCGCGAGGGAAAAGAGATAGGTATCGAATCAGCGAGGTTAAACCAAGGAACCGCGGTCACAGGCATTTTCCAAAGGGCAGGCATGAAATGGACATGAGTTGCTGCCATTACGCATAACGTGACACAATACACAAGCACTGTTGGCACATCATCAGTGCCAGCCATGAGTCACGATTGATGATAACATACTGATGAACGTAGCCAACCAGCTAATCGGAATAAGCAATGCTGCAGAGGCACAGATAGTCCACGTGGCTGAAAGAATAAAGGAAGTCAGCTACGCGACAAACCACCGATCAACCACACCTACATTGCGATTGGCACAACACTGGAGAACTAGCAGTTGTGACATAAATGCTGGCAGCTTCAAATTCCAATAATGGTGTGGTCAGAGGCAGTGGATCTAAGATGTTACCGCCAGCAATGACTTACCTAGTTGAAGTACACCCATCAGTACAGTCCAGCCACACTCAAATCTAACATGGGAAGGCCTCGCTTTGGGACATATAACCTCCGCCGAATATGCTCTAATGAGAAAAGTCAGGGGGGTCATGTAGGGTCAATAACACGATGCCTACAGCATTGTAAGAGAAAAGATAAGGGCAGCGTTTACAATGAGGAATGCCGCTGCACCAGGCACTACAAACGTGTCAGTCCAGGTTATCAGCACCACACTGAGCAACGCACCTGGCATCCCAGAGGAAGTAGAGGACATGATATTCCACCCTGCAAAGATAATTGCTAGCAAATTAAAATAGAGGATGAGGGCTGCGCTGATGTTATCTGGCTGCATCATTCACTACTGATATCGTGTACTTACTGAAAAATATGGCTCGGATGATGATGAAGGAATTCTGCATTTCGTCGTCTTTGATGGTGCTGTTGGTCGTGAAAGAAAGAGCGACGGTAGGGAAAGTCGTGCACTGTTGCCCAACTGTGAAAGGTGAAAACGAAGCCAAGCGGGGATTAACAGAACTATGAGTGACACTCTCTAGGAGCACAGTTCGGTCCACCAGAGACAAAGGGGATCCGGTCCACAAAAGATCCCATTAAATATCGACCATCACCAACGTGGCAAGGGAGGGACAAGCTTCACATTGTAAAGAACAATAAGAGTGCACGCAACAATAAGCTAAATGTGCATTGTCCGAATAAGGAAATTACAGTAACGCAAGTCCATGGACGAGGATGGCCCTGTGTGGTACCAAACGGCGTCCCTAGACATGGTGGGCTTATTAACAATACCAGATAGCTGCGAAAAAAAGGCGCGGTTGAATGATTAGTATGAGGAATTCGACTGTGTCATCTTGAAGCTCCAGCGGGCAACACGATCACCAACTCGATATCGTACTACTCTTAGACACTGTTTGATGAGAATCGAAGATGCTTTCTAACCGGGCGACAACTGTAGACGGACCTCGACAAAACAGAACTTGGATGGTTACGGAGCCTCGGAGTGCAAAGTTGTTGCTGCTAGATTATACTGGACATTTTTGCGGTATTTGGTCGCCAAATCTGCTGCGATCTTCACAGAAGCATTGGCACGAAGTATTTCCTACAGGGCAATTGACTCTTGATGACATTGGGCATTTGAGTCGCGACAAGACACACCTCCACACAGTGGTTCAGCTCGAGGATCATCTCTGTACACGCCGACTGTCAGTAGCAATATGAGCATGATCGATTAGTATCACACATATAGATAGACTCACAGCATTCTTGAGAATACGCTCTAGCAAAACTGCTTGTCGTTCGGCGTGAGGGTTCTCCATGATTACTGGGAATTTACTGGTGTGTTGTAAACTTGTGATGATGGCGGACGGGACAAGCGATATTCAACTTCCTCTCTTGGCCAACTTTTATTAGACTTTAAAGACAGCTGACAAAACTCAAAAGTATGCTATCGTGTTCGAGAAAGTATCGTTTAGATATACTCGATTTCCTAAGTTCTAACTTGACTTCAAAGTTCACGCTTCTGTCAGCTGCCGTCTTATATCTATCAATATGCGGGACGAGCTAAATAAGGAGCAGGGTGCTGTGTCTCGTCGGCTGATGGTAGCCGCAGGCGAGGACCAGAAGGCCGTCTAGTGCGGGGATGTGGCAACGAATCAGGAGAAGCATTGGAAGGGAGCTCCGACGGAACCTGAGCGCTTCGCTTCGGAAACTCAAAGGCGCTGGGTGGTGGCTTTCTCTTCGACTTAATTGATTTCTCCATAACATTCGCTCGTGGCCAATCAAATGGTGATGAAGATGGGGGTGATGGAGATGGGGACGATTCTCGCACATCCTGCGTCGATGTTGATGATTGGACCGAATGCGAGATGCTGGGTGCTGGTTTCCTCTTTGTCCTGAAAGGTTGTTCCATAGAATTTGCTCGCGGCCAGTCAAACGGCAGTGAAGATGGGTGTGATGGAGATGGGGACGATGCTCGCGCCTCGTGCACCGATGTTGATGATCGGGCCGGCTTCGAATAGACGATGGTCGTATTAAGTCGAGAAGATAAGGGTGGATTATCCATCTGCGGAGGAATCAAACCACGAATTCTTTGCGAGTAGATGCGAGCGGGGGAAGGATATGATACAGAGGGAGCAGGTATCGCTTGAGGTAAGGACGAGGCGGAATCCACGGGCATATGATGTGACTCATGTGGGCGATAATGTTCGATCTCGTACTCAGGACCAAGCCCAGCACGATATCCATAGACCGGATTCGGAGCAACTGGGCGAAGCGAACGAGGTTTATAGATATCCGATGTTCCGCGTCCTTTGACAAAACGTGGAGTTATCGGTGGGTTCTGGGCACTAGGCAGGCGTTGCCGAGCGGAGTCAATGCGGAGATAACGAACATTGTGATGCCATACACCTGGATCGATCCACTGTGTCGTAACCGCTGTTACGAATAGAAGAGACAGATAAAGAAGCACTAGGACAGCGAGCTCATTAGCAAGAGTTAGACGGAAAAGTTTGGAACACATACATATAACAGTACAGATCCAAGTAAAAGCTACAAGAATGTTTGTCGATAAACAGGAATTATCATTCACTGCGGTGGCTAGATGCGTAATTAGCGGACTGCTGAGTAAAAAGATGATAGATCCAACCTCGGGCAGAGCATTGGATATGCGGTGCAATTGCGGTGACGGCGGCCGCACCAGCTAAAGTGAAAATGAGATATATATCCCGGTGAGTACGGAGAAACGCACCTAATTGCATGAGCCAGACGAATGCTACCCATGTGCACTCGAACCACACCCGCGCACAGAGTGGATTTGTACAGAGTAAGTCGGCAAAAATACTAGAGAAGATGTCAGTATCTATGGACGATAGACACAGGACACCTGCATTAGAAAGATAAGAGCCAGGCTAAAAGCGCCCAGGAATATGAGATAGACATCGACTTGCACTGAGGATGGAGCTGAGATTGATGTCATGGCCCATATGAATATCTACGTACCCGTCTGTCCTCCTGCAGCTTGAACGAGGCTGTGATTCCATACAGCGACACTACATATAATGGCATTACAGACAACAAAAAGACCTGTTGGGCGAGGGATATGTGACAAACGCCCAAGATGAGAGATCGAGGCATACCGAACAGAATATAACGAGCGAAAAGCAGAGTAGACTTCATGTTTGATATCGATAGGATTTTAGGAGTGCATGCGAGAGATCAAACCGCACGGCGGAAGATGAAACAAGCGAGGAAAACTCGACCACAAAGATCCAGCTTTGCGTAGGGATGCCGTTCTGCATTAACTCATGATCAGCTCCCATGCCCAATTTACAAAGCCCGCGGCACTGCTCCTCAAATATCCACAAATTTCGCGCTTTTGGTCACAATACTATATTCGTGCATGATATAAGAAAATGCGTTTGACTTTTATAAAACAATGAACTTTAGAATACAGATGGGTGATTGAGTAATAACAAAGTAAATGAAGTCAGACAGATGGCAGTCCAGAACACAGTTATTATACACCGATGGTGACTTCGAGGAAAGGTGTCAAGAGCGACAGAGACCCAGCCGAACATTCGACCGGCGGCCATTGGGGAAGACGGGCTTCTTGATTTTGCTGCTATGAAGACAAGGGGGGCGGGCGGGAAAAGGTCAAGAAACTATCCGAGTGGGAGGGGAATATTGTCCGGCCTTGCAGGAGGTCTGCCACACTAGGAATGTAAGATCGGACTTCCGCAGAAGAATCCTGCTGCAGATGATCTATCATGTCAAAGATTCGCCGGGGTACTACGGCTGTGTCGCGCAAAGCGTTCTCTAGTGCAGAATGAGCAATACGGTGCAAGGCGTAAAGTCAGAAACATACCAAGTATCGATGTAGATAAACGAGCAATGCCAATGCGAACGCCCACTATGCTATCATTGCTTAACCGCTCGAGAGTGTGCCATCTTGCATCATCCACTAAGATTGATAGCCCACCTGCTGAGGATACTAAAGCCTGCTGACATGCAACAAACCTGTAGAACAATGTAAAAGGCTGGATAAAGTAGAGAATACACCTACGTCATTCGTCTTCGAAAAATTGGAGAGTTAGCTAGTGAAAGTATGTCTTCTTTGATCAGGTTGAGCGTAGGTTTCCAGACTTCATGCGGTGCTATTCGACAGATCTTCAGAGTGGGACGAAGTCCTTGTTAATCAGAACCACTGTTTTGTCAAGTCTCCACGCACCACAGAGATAGCAGTCTCCCTCACTGCACCAAAGTCGTCTTCAAGCGCTTTTTTTAACAGTGCACGTATGCTGTCGGGTCTTTCGGAGCCGCCAGCGAGATCGGCGATAATCTTGATGAGACCTTCACGTGCTCTCCAATTGCGCAACCAGCCTTCCTCCCATACAGTGAGCAGACCGGTGATCACCTCATCCCTCGCCCTTCCTTCACCCAAAGCCTCGACGAAGAGGGGGACAGCCTCAATTGCTTTGAATTTAATCTCTTGATCGTCTTCAGATCGCATTGCATCCCACCACAGGCTCATCAGATCTCGTTGGGCATTGTCTGGTCCGATGATCTTGGCTAATTCACCCAGACTAGCAGCTAATGTCCGCCGGATTTTAGGTGAGCGGTCCTGCGCGAGTATGAGGTATAGTCCCCGAAGCTCTCCCCACCGCGCTCGGCCAAGGGTCAATGCTACTGCAGGAAAATTAAATGCACACGCAAGTGGACGACCTGGGTCGTCATCAACTATCAACACCGGAGCATTCGCTGCATGAAAAGAAAGGTATTCATAAATAATCACACACGATTACTGAATCATTAATACGCACCAGAAAGTACCTGTAACGGCGATCGTCGAGTAGGGTGTGCATAACGTTCTCGTGGTGGTGAGGTACTGTCTATGCCAAGAAACAGACGTAGAAGATCATCAGGTGGTCCGTGGTCGTCGTCACGGAATGTGTATACAACTTCTCCTAGAGCCTCTAGAACACCAGTGCGGACTGGAGCAGATTCGTCTCGCGACAGAGGAATGAGGGTAGAGACAGCGACTGATCGGCGTAAACCTGACGGCAAACGTGACAAAAGTGCAGGCAAAGCAAAAAGGGAGGAGTGCCTCACGTGCCATGCAGGATCGGCACGTAGAGATTCAAACAACGGAAGCTACGGGGACTAGTGGTAAGAACTTGATAAATTTAAATACAGCGTACTCACGAGTGAGCCAAGAATAAGCTCATCGGGAACGACCTTTGCAAGAGCACCCAACGCAAATGACGCCTCTCTTCTAACCCAGTGGATAGGATCGCTTCCGACTCGTTCGACTTCTCTAACAAAAGCACGTTGGGTATCGGCCCTCGGCGTGCCTGCATGAAAAGAATTATCAACAAAGTCGAATTGATGAAGTTGGTAACATACGTACCCCCAGCAACTACGGCAGCAATGAGACTCATGCTTGATAATCGTCCAACAGCAGCTTGTTCGCCAAGATCTATATCTTGTCCGCCTTCCTGCACGTCCAGCCCAGGATCCGAATGTGCAGATCCGGTGTGGGTTGTATCGGGCATCGAATCGTGCTCCCAGGCTCCCTCACTTGTCTGCACTGGACTGTGTTGACCAGCGTCGTTCAGCTGAAGAGATAATACAGCCATGGGTGATATGTCTACTACCATGGCTTCGGCTTCAGGATGGGGCGGGGGTACACCAACTGGTGGACTAGGAAGGTTAGAAACGGGCGCTGACATCGATGCCGTCGCAGGGTCGTACATCGACGAAGACAAGGGTATGTGTGTGCTTGGAAAATACGGATTGACGAAACTGTTACTTGGTAAGGGAGGATCTGGTTGAAGAACCTCAACCGCAGGTGTATACCACACTTCGTCTGCATCTGTTTCATCTTCACTTGGTTCCAGGCGTCCCATGCCTATCACAAGTTGCTGGATGACTTCTTCTTCGAACAGCATCCTTTCGTGTCTCCCGAATAATCCATAAGATAGGTCCTCAGCGTGCCGGTCTTCCAGATCATCAGCCTTATGCATTCTCGCCAGTAATTCAACAACTGCAGATCTCGCGGAGCCACTGACAACCCCATTTGAGCTCAGGAGGAGCGTTGCTAGAATGGGGGTGAACGCTTGGACTGAGATTAACGTGACTTGATCATCAGATTGAGGCTGAGGAGAATAATCGGCATTAGGCGGGCCACTCGGCTCTTCAACCAATTGACAATGCTGCATGTGCGATAAAATTCAACGTTACAGGGTCAAAGCTGATAATGAGGTAAACCGACCGTTAAAAACCACCACATGATGGAAACAAGTTCCGCTGACAGAGCCTCTTTCACTGCCTCGTCTAGAAATAACATTAAAGCCGGAGAAGCCCGGAACTACACGGCGAACACACCTTCATCGACAGACAAGCTCGGGAGCAGTGGTAGGACATACTCGACAGCCTCTATAGGCGATACCTGCGCTAGGAATGCTGGTAGAGCATGTGAAATAAATACCCTGGGCACGATACATGGTTCTCAGCAGTGTGTAAGCACTACTACTACTCAAAGCATACCTGTGATGCGCTGATCTACTACGAGAAAAAAGGTATATCTTTTCAAGGGTACTTAAACCCTCATCATCGAGGGTGAAATCTAGTGCAAAGTCAGGCGATGAAAGGGCTTCTGGTGGTGGTATTGTTTCGATTTCAACAGACGTTATTGACGGAATATTGATGGGCGGTGGCGATGACGGTCTGGAGTTGCCAAAGATAGGAACAGGCGGAGGATCTGGTGGTGGATCTTCACCTTGGGGAGAGGTGACAGGCGTTGAGGGAGCGGTATGGAAGGAAAGCGTGGGCGATAGCGGAGGTGAATCAAAAGGATTCTCACCCGGAGAAGGAGAAATAATGAGTGGTAGCGAGAAGGCGCCCAGCACCTGTGGATAAGTCAGACGTATACGAGAAGGAGGAGTGGTTGTTCTTGCAGGAGCCGAAGGACGCTGATAAGTGTCCGAAACAGGTTGTACTGTTAGAGGTTCGTCTGAGGCAGGGTTGCTGTGTTGAATATCGACTAGAGACACTACATTACCCATGTTGGCGTAAGATACATTGAGGAAATAGAGAAATGATGGGGACGGACTTTGGAATAGGTCTTTCTATAAGACCCCTTGAGAAAGGACCGCGGGGAATGAAGTGAGGGGGACACGAGGACAACGGGCTGGCCAGTAAAAGAGCGAATTAAGAAATGACGCAAGGCCACAATGCAGCAGTTCAATCTTGGTTAGTTTAGCACACAAGTTCATTACAAAATAATACAGACGCATTACTGAAGAAGTGCCTGTAGATGAGAGTGTGCACCGTGGTGAAAAGCTGAATTCACGGTGAAAATTTTGATTAAGCAGTAGTCGGAGCCAGGAGGAATGACACTTTAGGCAAGCACAGGCTTAAGCTGTGGAATCCGGGAGAGTATTACAAGAAAGGAGAAGAGAAGCCGTAAAGAACAAGAAGGGACCGAGACGGGAGAGAGAGGTCGAGGAAATGTACAAGTTTGAATTGACACCGCGGAAAATGGGATCAAGTTTAGGCAAGTCCGGAGAAGAATCAACTTGTAAATTTCCTTGTGATGTCATTGGTCATATTAGTTCACAAGGCACATTTTCATTGACGTCACTCTGGGTTGTGTTCCCCCGTATTCGATCCCTTTCCTTCCTCACGCTCTCCGGATACCGATTGCATGCATACACATCCCCCATTTCATTCAATACAAGCTAGTCATGTCTAAACAGGTCCTCGCCTCGTCCACGCGTCCAACACGTGTCCAACAAAACAGAAAACTCACCTCAGCATGCCAATGATATATGTCATGGCCACTCGCGTACTCTCCAAAGTTACTCACTCTGGTGATTTAATAACTAGATGGGCATAGGAGTCCTCCTCCACGATGTACTGCCCACGCCTCGTCGTCGAGGTCGCCGCTTGCATGAGTCACGATTGAGGTCAACTATAGGCACAAGCGTGTGGGAAGGACGCCGACCGCAGCGCGTAGGGCATCAAATTACATGCCCATGGTGCCCGGGTAATGATAAAGAGTTCGAGTAAAAAATACCCTGAACTTTCACTTTCATTCATAAATGCTCAGGAACAAGCGTCATACGTGATTTGCACCAGGTCTTCGCGCGCCGCTTTGCAATAGTACCAGCGTAATTTATGAATAACCTGCACCAGACCTTGCCCTGTCGGTCAAGTCCCCGGTAACCCCGCGATGAGAGATATTTATGATCGAGGTTAGGGTAAAATCATTTGCGAATCTGAGCGACCTCGGCGCGGTGATTGAGTT